CACATACATTTTTTACCCGATTAGGAGCTTTGAACTTCTATTGCCATAAACTAATCTTTTAATAAAAATGAGCTTTGTTTTTCAATAGAGTTTTTGCTATCTTTATAAAGACAATTATGGTGAACGATATTGGTAAAAAAGTTGACCAAGAAATATTAGCATCCATTCTATTCATTTAGTTTCTCTTTGATCATTTCTGTTTTCCATGAAGTTCGAAGAGTTTTTTAGCTTGTTCTCTGTTTCACTATTTCTAACATATTGGACTAACATATAACATTGATACAGCTAATTTAACTTTAGTTTTCTACTGAATAGATTATAATACTAATCTTCATTCTGAATTCAGCAATAAAGATGAAATACAGATATATGAAGAGTCAAACTCAGAAACAATATCAAAAGCTGAAGACTCGTTTAGCTCTAATCGAAATTCAAGCACAATTATCAAAGAAAAAAAATTCCACGTCAACATTGAGGGTATAGATGGAGAGAAGACCCACACTCTATTCTGTGAAATTCCTTTATATTACACTCATGGATTTATGGAAGTGCCTTGTTTAATTCAATTCAAGAACAAGCGAAAGAAACGACTGTTACAAACAAATGAAAGAAATAGTCCTCTGAGTTTGATCCTGTATGATACTATACTTTATAAATAATTTTTAAATAAGCTACAGCTTATCCAAAACGATACACTATAAATTCATCAGAGTTTGAGGTGTGTGAAAGCTTTCCATGTGTAGAATGATATTCTATCGGCGTTGACATTAAATCGTGATTGATTGCTGAAAGTAGCAATTCTCTACCCAAAGCAACTTTATTGAAATGAATCACATGTGTTTGATCGATTGGATTCGGTGTTGTGTAAGTATGAGAGAGACCTGAATTATTGGCAAAATAGGCGCCGTGACCTAAGCGCAAACAGAAATCAATATTCAGAAATCAATGTTTTCTTTTATTACTTATCCCACTTGCCTTTGGCTCCCTAATATCGATCATCGAAGTCATCATTAATGATTTCATTAATTCCTTTCTCTGACGTCCCATGAAATAGTTCTTGTTGATTAAGATTATGATCTGAGCATTATTTTGCAATAAGTTGCTTCATGACTAGATAAACATCTTCCAGCAATGAATTCTTTATTTATGCAATGAAAATAATTCGAACATGTTGTCCAATCGTATCTTAAACTATTTTTAACCAATGATCTATATAGTTCTGTTGATTCAGGCAACAAAACTAGAACTACTTGATATTTGAGTGACGGATCAGGAATAACATGTACGACTTGTCCAATTTGCAACCAATCTCGAGCTTATATTTTGTCAAAGTTTCTTTTTAATATGATCAACAATAGTTTCTAATTCAATCAAATAGGTTTTATGTTGAATATCAACTCTCATTCATAATTCTTTCGTATAATCTTTTTCTAATGACAAATCACTAACATAAAAAGCCATACGATCATGCGTCAAAGCAACATGCGATTCTATTAGATCAATTGTAAAAGGACCCATCGTACTATGTTCATCTAACAGCAAGATACGTATATCGCCAATCTTCGTGAGCAACTCTACATTCAATGTGATACTTGTGTAAAAAATCGAGAAACTTGCTAATATCAAAATATTTATGTATTGGCAAATGGCAATCGAGATCTGTTGGAATTAAGTCTTTTTTTTATCAGCGGTATACTCGTCGCAGTTGCATTAGTGTAGTAGGCAAGTCAAGAAGATGGATTTCCTATTGGTCGTTTCGTATAATTACTAACGATCCAATCTCGAACAAAATCACCTTCGACTCGACAATCAAATTGACAAACAGCGATTCATGCAACGACTTCTATTTGAGTTTCACGAGTCACTTTAGAATCTATCAAACTATTGTATAAATCGATCGATGTTTGTTTACTATCGGTAACATGTGAAACATTTTCTTCAATGTCAAAACATGATTTGTGCATTTGACGTTTAAGAATTTGTAGTGGAACATCTAAAATAAGAGTGAAGTGAAGGATCCGATTCATTGATTTTTACTAACAAACTTTTGCCTTTGTTGAGACAGAATTCAGACATAATTATATCCTAGAGCTTATGAACAAGATATGATTTATCCAATTAAATCTTGAATTTAAATACGTCATCCTACATGTAGCATTCATTTCCCTTGAAATATAGCTGAACTACTGACCACCATCGGGATATCGAATAAGAGCACAATTTTATTAACCATCTTACGAATGATTGAAATTCTTTGTATGCCAATTGATTTTGTGAATTGCATCCTTCGATTATTATTTCACAAGAATCATTGGTCATAATGTTGATGTAAGTGTTATTTTGACTTGTTGCTCATTTTTCCAACGACATATCATTGACTTGAATACTCGTGTTATTTTCATAATATTTTTTAAATTTTGTTTCATTCATTTATAATTATTGGATGTATTTGGTTGAAAATCATTTTATGAACAAACAATGAATATCGAACATCACGAGCAAGAATAAGTACAACAGGTGCTTCATTAATCAGACGTATGAGTGTTCAAAGACGATCTAAAACGGCAATTTTATCTTTTTCAGATCGATATATTAAGTAAATTGATGAATTCTTCCATGTAATTCTTTCATAGACATGAACACATTATCAATGTATCCACTCAATAAAGATTTAGCAATCGATTATCAATTCTCATTTGCAATTTGTGCTTTTTGATGATAATCATCCGATAGATCGAATGATTTTTCTAAACTTTTATATCGTCTTAGACCTTGATTGAGAATATGTTGTGCCTCTCCCAAATGTTTTGCTCGACAAGGATGTGGATGTAGATGTGAGTGTAGATAAAGAGAATACCCACACGCATACCCTCAAATCTGAGCAGAGATAGAATAAAATATTCTACACAAACAGTATATAGCATTGTACGAAAATAAAAATAAAAATGATGTAAGATGAAAAATTTCAAAAATTAACAAATAATAATAAAATTAGACGAGTAATTTGTGCTAAACAGTTAAGAATGAAATTTGAAGTTATTAGGTTGGCAACTAAGTCTTTGCGTTTTTTTCAAAAATTTTAATTTTATTTTTGAACTTCAAAAGTACAACTAGCTTTCAGTTATATATGTACCACTAGTATCTATGACTTGTCGCCAACGTTCTGGTAAAGACAGGATCCCGCGTTCGTAGAAGTCCTTGGATTTTTGATCAAAGAAGTTGGCGATATCCATTTTTAGGTCGTTCTCGTTGTCGAATTTTTTCTCAGCCAAATGATGAGAGAGAGAACGAAACAAATGGTAGTCCGTTGGAGCCAAGTCAGGAGAATAAGGTGGATGAGGAATGGTAATCCATCCGAGTTTCAATAATTTTTCACAGGTCGACTTTGCAACATGTGGTCTTGCATTATCATGCAAATAGTAAATTCGATCCTGCTTTCCCTTGAGTTTTTCGGCAATCCGATCCAATTGTTGACAGTATAGATCAGCAGTGATGGTGCAACCATTTGGTAGAACTTCCCAGTGAATAATCCCATTGACACCCCACCAGACGCTCAGCATCACCTTCTTAGGGTGTAAGTCAGCCTTAGGTGTTGCTACGCCTGTTTGACCAGGACTTAGCCATTGGCGTCTATGCGTGTAGTTAACATACAATACCCACTTCTCATCACCAGTGATAAGATTGCGTAGCCATTGATAGTTGCGGTAAGATGTGATTAAATCCATACATGCATCAACCCTGTATTGCAGCTGATATGGTGATAATTCGTGGGGTATCCAAACTCCATATCTCCATGTTTTGCCTAATCCGTGCAAATGTTTTTCCACCGCAGTATGGGAGCACCCCAGCTGATCTGCTAAACACCGTGAAGTCAATCGAGGATCTTGTTCGATAAGCTGCTGTAAGAGGTCCACATCCACCTCCAGTGGTCTACCGGGTCGAGGTAAATCGTCGAGTTCTAAGTTACCATTCTTAAACCGATTGAACCAATGTTGTGCCATACGAATCGAGAGTACATCCTCACCCATCGTGCTGCAAATGTTGTTGGCTGCTTCTGTTGCTTTATGACCCAGACGGAATTCATGAAGTAAAAGTATATGAATTTCTCTACGAGAAAGATTCATTTTCTGTTCGTGGTCAGCGTACATATCGATGACTTTATTATCGTTCGAAAGATATTCACACTCCCTTTATATACCCTTAGTATGGAAACTTCTAGAACTTTCTCGAATGTTCTAGAACAATTTCAAAAAAAACGCAAAGACTTAGTTGCCAACCTAATAGAAAGGAAGCATACAAATGGAAATTGGATAGAATAGTAAATATAGATTTTAGTAGCAAATTTACTTTACAACCATTTCACAACAAAAGAAATGATGGTATTTGTGGGCAGATGAGGATGAAACTATACTACCACCTTTGGTCAATGCATTAACAGATAAATTTCAAAAAGAATTCATTTTGTTTTTGGATGCAATTTCATCGCATGGACTTATTTCTGTACGTGAGCCAATTAATTTTACAAAATGGTTACATCAGCAATAATTACAAGTTAAAAAGAATAAAAAGATGTATTTAACAAACGATTTGTATGCGAAATTTTTAATAGAAGAAATAGTACCAGCAATAAAACAAGTATTTAAAAAATAGTGGTTTGGTACCGATCTTTCAAGACGATCAGAATAGCAAACACAGAACAACGATGATGAAAAATACTGTGTTCATTCTTTATTTGATGAATGTATTGGGTGTAATTAAAGAAAGATTGAGAAGAGAACAATTTGACGATAGATTAGAATTGGAGAACCAAGTAGTACAACAATGGAGAACGTTTACTGCTGAAAAATGTTGTGAAATGATGAAAAAAATACCGATTTGACTGAAGCTGCTGATAGATCAAAATGGAGAGCAAATATATACTCATTGATGAATGTGTTTTTATTGTTTGCTTAAAAGAAATTTCGATTTGTAAATATTTTTTTCAAGCAGTACTTTTCATGTCACATTATAACCAAGTTTAAAAAATGTTCAAGTACTTCTAAAAATATTTAAGATTTTTTTTTTTGATTTTAGTAATGCTTGCATCTCTGTAACAGTAATAAGTAGAAAACTCAAATTCTGGCATAAAGTAGATCTAGACATCTAGTATATATATTGTAAATATCAGTCTTTTCGACTCTTGAAACATGTAAGAAAAAAATATTGCATAAGGGGATTAGAACTTATATAAAACTATTTAATTCGCTTATTTTTAGTAGAAATATATTAGCATGCTACAATATGAGAAGAGCTTCTATTTCAGTTTACGACTACTGCAAGCAAAGAATATAGCTTTCAGATATGTACATATATTCATTGATTTCGAATATTTGTGCTGTCTTCAATTTTTCGAATGATTCTTCTCGGTATTCATCTGCTGCACGTTGTCAGGTTTTCTTTGATGTTCAGAGAAATGTATGGTGCGACGATTATTGCTTGGCTCAGAGTCATTTCTTTGACGTCGACTCAATCTACATCTTCCATATTGCTCATTGAATGACTGGTTCAATCGAGAACGAGTCGGAGAGTGAGAAGGCGCCACAGCAAATGATTTCGACCTTTGTTGGCGAACCAATTCTATATTGATTCGTTGACGTCGTTCACGATCAAAAATTTTGTACCATTTCGGTGGAAGTAATTTAATGACATGTTCGTAGAACGAGATATGTTCTTTTTGCGCTGATGCTTGTGCTCCGTACGGTTGATACCCACATAAGTTGACAAATGTCGACGGATCTTCTTCGTACATATCGAGAATATTCTTCACGAAGCATATTACTTTTGCTTCGCTCTCAGGTGTCGTCAATTCTCGATCTTCGGCACGAAAAACATCAAGATCAAAGTCTTTGGCATACGATTGCAAACGATTCAAGTCAGTACGACTAGTCGAATAGAATTCAAGATTCGATCGATCAGTGGTCGATGATATTTGATCTGGATGTTTCGAGGACGTTGTCAAACCTTTCCAATGCTTGGCAATCGATTTACTCAATACGATGGTCCCAATTCCTGATGAATCGAGTTTGTTTTTGTAATTAGTCTCATTTTCATTAATACTCTTGTTGTAATTACGTGCCACTTTCACATCATGATGAAAGAAGTTCACAATTTCTTTGCTGGCCTGATGCAACGGTGCAACTTCTTTGATACGGAGAATAATCAATGCCATGGCAATAATACATAGAATATTTACCACGGTAAGGAGAAGACTACAACTACCGAGTATAGCTGCTTCGTGAGGCATATAGCATGAATAGTATGGCAAGTAATCATTGTTGACATATCGAGAACAGTTTATGATAGGGTCATTAGGGCGGAGTCGATTTTGAAAGTTAAAAAATAGCTCATTCGATTGGACGTTCGCGTTATTACTTATGCTAGTACGAGCTACAGTCGATACTGCACGAGCAAGTATGGCATATGCAAGAAGAAGGCCACAGTTCACCGCTGGAGGAAGAAGAGAAGCTACAAAAACCTCATAGAAGTGAGATCATGAGTTTACAAAGATTTACGTACCAGATATAGCCACACCAACCAATGACCCTTTGACAAAAACGAAATATAGCATCAGAATTCTACACAATTTACTATTACCTGTGTTTCCACCAAGAACTGATAATGCAACACCAGCACCACTGGGCAAGGCAATCAGAACACCTACCCATAGACGTTTGAGATCGCCACGGGCTTTCATTTCCGAAGTGGGAAAACTCATTGAACTTCCCCATCTGGTTTCAGCATGCGTGGTGCACAGACTAAATCGGCAAAGATCAATACATTGATAGTATGAGAATCCACTCACCCGATAATAAAACCCCACAAAATACAGAGAGCGAGACCAATCAATTCGTTTCGAATGCCACGTTGCCACAGCGAATGTTCACGTACTGACAAACCAAACACGATGCCCATGATTGGATTCATCAGTGGACTGACCAGCATACTGGCCACAATGGTCACTGACGAATTTTCGAGAAGTCCAAAACCGGCGAGCATTGAAGCGAGGCTGAGTAAAACGATGAAATCGAACGAGAGTTCCGTAGCAGCTCGAATGCCAGCTACTACTTGATGTACCATGAGTCGAGCTCGAACACTTTTCTTGAATTTGAATGTATCGATAGATCTGTGAATTCTGTTTTTTAACGTCGAATCTTCGAATGGTATTGGCTGACAACTATCGTCAAGACTCGAAGTTCTTTCAATAGTTGTTACGGCTGTGTTTAATGCATCACTTGATACATGGTCGTGAATTCCCATGACAACAGTAGCAGGAACGACACAAACTTGACTGCCGTTCTTGATGCCGATATCTCTCTGATTCAAATCACATAAGATTCGATCGCTCATAAAGCCGAA